TGATGATGTTTAAAACAGAACATCAGTTTCTGCAGTGAGACTAAATGACAGTAATTATCCCCTGAGGCACTCTTTTTTGATAAGTTTCTGAGGCTCTCCTGCTGCTGATGTCTCTTGAAGCCCATGTTGCTTCTACTTCTATGGAAAGTCACTTGTTTTTATATAAAACCAAAAGACACTTGATAAGTCAAAATACCAGGTGATCAGCTTCAAACTCTTTTGCAGGCTGCAGCAGTGTGACTTACGTGTGTTGACATGAGATTCTACCAACCTGTTCATACAAACTAATGTCTACATTCCTACCAGAGACCTCATTCACTCCTTCTGTATAGACTCCTCTGTATTTTTTCAGTGGTCCTGGTTGGTGCACTAAGTGTTGAGGCCTCTTTACTTCCTAGGATCTGAACAAATTAACAAGAGAAGGTAATAGGGACAGAGGAAAAATATCAAGTCAACTTTATTACTCAGAAAGGCTAGATTGGAGAATATTGCTTAAAATGGAGCAGAATGGGCTTGTTAACTCTGGAGGTTGGCCAGCAGACCCACTCATCATCAACTCAGCCACACCAGCAGAGTGGCCTTGCAAATACAGAAGTGCAGCTTGTTTGCTGTAGGCAGTTTGTTTCCAGGGGGAAGAAGGATAGAGATGAGCTGAACATATCCAGTGTATTAAACACAAACTAGTCAGTGGAGAGATAAGGAATTAGACTAATTGAACTTTCTCCAGAAGAAGGAAGCATTACTCTTCTAAGCCTGTCTGTATTTTCTTGATTTATCCATTTTAGACCATCTAGGCAGATTCCTTGCTATGGAAGATGAGAATTTAGCTTACTTATCCTTCCCGGTCTCCTATTCACTCATCCTCCCAACATAATTCTTCCATAATTTTGATTAAGTATTTGGTATTTACATTTTATAATTACATACCTGCCTTTTTTCTCTATAGAATTTTGTGGTTCTTGAAATTAATCTTCTCATCCCATTTAGTTTACTGACTTTTTATGATTTTTTAAATGTTTTTATTTTATTTTTGAGAGAGAGAGAGAGAGAGACAGAGAGAGAGAGACACACACAGAGCACGAGTGGGGGAGGGGCAGACACAGAATCCAAAGCAGGCTCCAGGCTCCGAACTGTCAGCCCAATGTGGGGCTCAAACTCACAAACTGAGATCAAGACCTGAGCCGAAGTCAGACACTCAACTGACTGAGCCACCCAGGCACCCCATTTACTGAGTTTTATAGTCTTATCATGAATGGAGTCAAAAGCTTTTCCACAGTTGCATTAGTATATCTATATGTAGATACTTAGTTAATATATATCTTCATGTAGCAGATTTGCCTGGCATAGTCTGTAGGGTCCACATTGGACTTCTTGTATACAAGTGCTCTTGCGTTAGTGGTCATCAAAGTATCTTAACCTTCACCATTATCCTTAAGGTTTTCCTGACCTTGTGGTTGTATTAGATATCCTGTTACCTAGATGTTATATCTTCTTTCTCTTGGTGTATTCTTGTTTTGTAGAGCACAGATTTTAGTAGCTTTCTGATAAAGAATATATAGGAGGTAAATCTTTTGAGAACTTGCGTGTCTGAAGATGTCTCCTTTTTATACTCATACTTAATTCATAGTCTCAATCCTGAGCATAGGATTCTAGGTTTGAAATACTTGTCCTTGAGAATTTGATGGCATTGCTCTATTGCTTTCTTTCAGTGTTGTCATTAAGACGTTTGATGCCTTTTTAGTAGCAGTCTTTTATATGAAATATGTCACTGGAAGTCTGTAGAATCTTTTTTTTATACCCTTTAATTCTGACATTTTATGGTGATTTGCCTTGTCATTGGTTTGTTTTTGTCATTTGTGCTGGACATGTGAATGTGCTTTTTCAGTCCAGAAGTCCCTATCTTTTAATCCTGGAACATCTTACAGAATTCTTTATTTGAATTTCTTCATTTTCACCTTAGAAACTTTCATGTCATCCCCACATTTTCTGGAGTATGATTTTGCTTTGAGCTATGCATGGTGTACCTCAGTCCAAAAACCCTGTGTTTTACTTACTCCAGTCTTTTGCTATTGTGAGAGAGTGGGCAAGATCAGGCTGTGCAGTCATGGGTAGGTGATCTGAGTGGTTAACCACTTCTTAAGTACACTTTAAAGAATTCTGGTGTTTTTAATGCCATCCTTGCCCTCAATGCCAGACATATGTGAGCCTATGAGGAGTTTTGTAGTGATTATCAAGTTGATTTTCCATCTTCCCTGCTGTTGGCTTTGGATTAGCTTTCTTAGGTGTAAGTAATGTGCCATTATACATTTGTTCTAGAAATATATGTGCCTCTTTTATGCATTATAAGATCTGGTTGTGAATGTAATGAATACTGATGAACAGAAATGGAATTTCATGATAGCTGCAACAGCAGTGATATTATAAGAAATTGTCTTTGATTTCCATTGTTTACAAAATCACATGTACTGCTAAACTATTGTGATTTTTTTGTTTACATTAATAAGTAAAGGCTAGAGTTCATTTAGAGGATAGTATGAAAATAAAAATGTACTCTTTTTTTTCTCATCTGCTTTCCTGGAATCCCTGAAGTCTACCTGTGGACTCAATTTAGAATTCCTGGATTAATTGGATATGAGACCATAATCATGGTTTCCTATATTCATCCATTTTTCAAAGAGGCTTCTTTACATATATGTATCAGCCTTTTCATTCATTCAGCGAATATTTACTCAGTATCAGCTGAGTTAAGCAGAAGACACTGGGCACCAGGGATAGTTAACAGGAAAATTTCTGTCTTTGTGGAACTTCCATTTCTAGTTGAATATGTAATTGTTTATAGTATAGTCTAGATGAAAATAACAAAATTTAACTATGTATCCCTGGAAAATAATGGAATTCGCATGTCTTTGTTATAATGTCATTACTTTACTTGAAACAGAACTTTAAAGTTTTTTTTTTTTTTAAACGTTTATTTATTTTTTTTGGGGACAGAGAGAGACAGAGCATGAACGCGGGAGGGGCAGAGAGAGAGGGAGACACAGAATCGGAAACAGGCTCCAGGCTCTGAGCCATCAGCCCAGAGCCCGACGCGGGGCTCGAACTCACAGACTGCGAGATCGTGACCTGGCTGAAATCAGACGCTTAACCGACTGCGCCACCCAGGCGCCCCATTTAAAGTTTTTTTAAATTACTAAAGTAACATTTATTTTTAAAAAGATGTGAGAAGATTGATAGGCAGAAAAGAAAAAAAATGCACCATTAAAACCTTGGTGTACGTTTCAGTCTTTTTTCTTTTTTCTTTTTTTTAACATTAAAAAAAAAAAATATTTTTATTTTTGGAAGAGAGAGACAGTGTGTGAGCAGGGGAGGGGCAGAGAGAGAGGGAGGCAGAGGATCCAAAGTTGGATGCTTAACTGATTGAGCCACCCAGGTGCCCCCACTCTCTTTTCTGTACACATATACACATAGGTATATTTAAATGTGCATAATTTGTTTACAGAAATTCAATTGGATTATATTTTAAAAACATATAAAATTTTTATTTGTCAAGTGTTTACTTCAATTTTAATGGCTGTACAATATTCAGTTTCATGAAAACACTTATTTGTATCTTTAGGTTGTTTTCTCTATTTTACTATTTAAAAAAATCCCATTTGCTAATTGCTTGTAGCTAAAATTTACCAAAAACTTTTATTTAATTGTTCCATCAGTTTATTATGAAAAAATTTATATTAATGGAAAATTTGAAAGAATTTTACAGTGAATGCCCATATACCCACTAACTGGATTGTATAATTAACATCTTTTTTATATGTTTTAAAAGTTTTATATTAATTCCAGTTAGTTAATATACAGCATTTTATTAGTTTCAGGTGTACAATATAGTAATTCAACAGTTTCATACATTACCCTATGCTCATCATGACAAGTGCACTCCCTAACTCCCTAATCCCCATCACCATTTAACCCACCACCCTATAATTAACATTTTAGTATGCTTACTTTATCATATAATCTATCTAATTATCTATCCCTCTGTCATGAATTTTTTTGCAAATATTTATAAGCTGAGTTGTACATTTTTCAGTTACACAAATTTTTTTCATTTATGCTAGGTTCCGCTCCAAGGAAACTTTTCAGTACTAATTTTCACTCTTACCAGTGGTATATCATGACACTTTGAATCTTTGCTGACACTGAGTTTTATTATTTAATGTAATTTTTTAGATAATTTTTGATGTATAAGTTGTTGCTAAAGGAGATTGCTTATTTTAACTCTAAAATGACTCCATTCATATGTAGTACTCATGAAACAGCATTCATTTATAGTTTGATCATCTACACTGTGGCTTTTGAAAGGAAATGTATGTAATTTGTTCTCTGTGATACTTGATGGTTTTAATGGGAACATTGTACCTGTTTGGTAACTAAGGTACAGTTGGAATTTCCATCAGGAAATAGTCCTTTTGTTTTCAGTTTATGCAGTACAGTGTGTAAATAAGTACTCTAAAATATTACCTACAGCATATTTAGACTTTTTATTTTTTCCCAGGGTAATGAGCCAGTGGAGGGAAATGATTCATTGGGGTCGTCAGGAGTAGAAGTAGATCTAATGAATTAAATATTCTTTCACTCATTAGACCTTTGCCTTGCTTCTTGGAACTTTGTTTTATTCCTTGTAACTGGGCTCCACCAGTGTAACAATATAATTGACTCAAGAGAAATACAGATGTGATTTTGAGGTGTTAAGAAATCTGGACGCCTTAGGTGGGCATATAGTATGAGGTAGTTGAAGCAGGGAAGTAATTAGCAGATGAAAAGGCTTACGCAATACTATCTTAAGTTATAGATTGCCTACATTCTACTTTATTTTAAAAGTAGTTTATAAGCAGTTAATTTAACTTTGGTATGGCTATTTAAAAAAATTATATGGAAATTCCACTAGAAATATGTTATCTTTGTTATTTTCTGAGCATTCAGCTAAATCTCTTTGTTTACAGCTGGGCTCAAAGTGCAGAGAACTCAAAGATATTCATTTCGGCCAATGTTACAAGATCTCAGATGAAGGCATGATCGTCATAGCTAAGGGCTGTCTGAAATTACAAAGAATATACATGCAGGAAAACAAATTAGTAAGTACTTGTTATAATCTTCATTTTTAAAAATTTTGTTTCTAACCTTTGATATCTTTATAACTTATAAAATTTTATCTGCTTTTGATGGTTTAGAGGCAAATACTACTTAAAAACAAGAATCCTCTCAAAACAATGGTTTTATAAATTGATCCTATAACTCTGTAGGTACTTGCATGTGGTACTTGTGTGTTAAAAATTCCTCATTAGCATGTGCTAATAGGTTTTTGTCTAAATTCTGGCAATTAATTAACTCAGGTAAATTGGGAAAAATAAAATTTAGTTGCTAAACATAAGTCTGTGGTGGTTGTTCCTTTTGATTTCCTAGGGATTGGAATAATTCTAGGTAGTTAGATTTTTTTTTTTTTATGGTTCAGAAAGATGTGTACGTGTGAACTAAAGCTTTTCACTTAGTGTGGTGAAAAATGAGATTCAGTAAACTGAGGCAGATAATCTTTTTAGTTATATACATTTTATATTTTAATGATATGTGTAACTCATTCATACTTAATATATATATTTACAGCTGTTTATTTCCTTTTATTGAGATGTAATTCACCTGCCATAAAATTTACTCTTTGAAAGTATTGTGACTTAATGGTTTCTAGTATGTTCACAAAGTTGTGTAGTCATCATCACTAATTCTAGAACAGTTTCATTACCCCCAAAGAAAGTCTGCTAATTAGTTGTCACTCTCCATTTCCCCCTTCCTCCAGCCCCTGGCACCTGGTAATCTACTTTATGTCTCTGTGGATTTGCCTATTCTAGGCATTTTATACAAATGGAATCACACAGTATGTGGTATATTGTATTTGGCTTCTTGGACATAGCATAATGTTTTCAAGGTTCATTCATGTAGTAGCATATATCGGAGCTTCAGTTTTTTTAGTGGTTGAATAATACTCCAAACCTTTAAAATTTTGATTTGATGGGTGCTTAGTAAAAGTTAACAGAACAGGTTATCATTAGGGAGGTACTAGTAGATTTCTCAAGGTTGAGAAATCGTGTACTTTAAAATGTAGGCAAGGTGGTACTGAATATGTTGCATATTTTCAAAGGAGACCTGCTCTTAATTGTATTCCCCAAATAAAGGGATCTTTTTGTTGCTTCTTGGGATTAGTTTACAATATTTGATAAATGTGTCTCATAAATTAATGTAAGTTTTAAAAGGTCTCTAGAACCATCAGCACTTCAAATGAGATAATGTACTTTAAAACAAGATTCCAGTTAGAAAAATCAAAACACTGTAAGTTAAAAGGAAATGCTTTTATCACCACATAGAATTATATTTTCCTGTGAAATTATATAGTAAAAATCCTCCACATTTCTCTTTACATTTATTACAAGTTTAATAATCTCTCTTAAAGCAGTATGATCTTATAGAATGAATAAGGTTTTCTGGGTCAGAGAGGGTGAATTTTTTAAACCTGGTGTACAATCACTTGTGATTCTAGGGAAATTGCTCCTTGAACCTCTTCTGCAGACAGGGTTACTAATACCCGTTTTCTTGCAGGTTGTAGCTCTGAGGATTAAATGGCATAATGTCCTTACATTGTCTAGTACAAACTCTGACCCATAAGAGACACTAAAACTAGTAATTTTTATGAAATCCTGTCTGTATTTGTTGTCTGTTGGTTTCTACTTTACATTCAAGAGAAAGGAAAGGATGGTAAACCCAACTTGAGATTTTTATATTCTTCACATATTGGGAATATTTGTTGGGTGATTAATATTTGTTTCCTTGTTGAGTAAACACAGAGAAACATTTTTCTTAACACATTAACATTTTTAGTCCGTGGTTCCCCAGAGGAACTAATTGTATATGTTCTGAAGTTTATACTTACATTCACATTTGTTTTTCCTTATTATTGTGGTTCATTAAAAAGATGATATACTTAAATGATAAGGAAATCAATTTTGTATGTCGTGTTATTCAGTAAACATTTGATTTCATTGGAAATTTGAAGTAATTTTGCTAAATCTTAAAGTTCGGTTCAATAAAGTTCCTTCAATTTAAAGTTCTAGAAAAGGAATCTTAGAATCATTTGAGCTCTTCATACTGGACAGTTGAATTATTATCTATCCTCCCATAGGAGCTACACCTTGTTGTTTTAGAATTTATGGAACAATGAGATATATTTGAATCCTTTCAAAGCTATAATTTTAAGTAGTTCAGGTATTTTCACTCTGAGAACTGTTATTATTAGTCTTTTAACAAGAAATATTTTAAATGGGGTGAGTAGAAATAATAGCAGTCTGGCTAAAGGCAAATTATATTTATATACTTTTATATTTTTATGCAGTATATATTTATAAAAATATTTATACTCCATATGTAATTATAGGTAGGAAATATCACTAAACATCACTAAATAAGACAGATTTTGTAAGTTAACAACTAATAGAGATATTTAGGAGAATGCTGTGTCTGAAAGGATGCCAACAGAATTTGACCTGTGCAGATACCGATCATTAATGAAATTGTTTTGCTAATTCTCTTATTAAATTGAATCTTCTCAAAAGAGTGTTAGAATTTTGTTTATAGTCTAAAAATAGTCATAGCATAGAGTTTCTTTAAAAGTGTAAACTTTGCTGACTTTAAAATATCAAATTGTTTTTATATATTGGCAGTATTTGAGTATACATTTTTTTTCATATTGTATCTTGGCCTTTAGATGGCAGCATTGTCTTTGTATATTTCAGTGACATCGCTTTTGTGTCCTTGATATAACTATAAAGGTAGAATGCTTATACATAGTTTCTGCAGGTATTATGGTTTGTTTTCAATTTTTGTTCTTTAGGTGATTTTAATGTGAAAATTTCTTAAAATAATTTGAAATATTAGTTATATTTAGAAGTTAAAAGATGAACTTGCTATTTTACACAAAGTAGAAAGATATTTGAACATTCTTATTTGTGGGACTGATTTAAGTAAGATAAACTTTAGGGAAGGATTCCTGTGTTTATCGGAGCGAGTTTTATTCCGGTGGAAAGTGAGGACAATGACTTTACATTTTAAGACTCAGTGAGTTATGGTGAGGCAAAGAATTGAGGACTTCCATGTAAAATTTTACTCAAAAGAGAGTAGATTTCTGTTTTACTTCTTTTTGAGTGATACAGATGCCATGCTCCTATATGACATGTTTTGTGTTTGCTATAAAACTGTGGTATAGATTTTAGGAATAGATTTGAGGAATGCAACTATAGTGAGGTTCTAGCATATTGTATACAACTGTCTCCCTTCTTCTAGTGATAGCTTTTGTATCTCTTTTGTGCAGTACTGGCTACAAAGTTATTTTTTAATCCATACTTACTTAAATGTACAGTTATTGATGATCTAGACACCTCTTTAAATGTATTCTCTCTGCTTCTTTACTCTTGTTGCTCCAGATTCCTCTTCTTTACTCTTTGGACAGAGAAGCTCTTTGGGCAGCTTCTTACTTAGTTGTGACAAGATCAGATGGATTATCTGTCAATTGTCATCCAACCTGATGCTTTAAAGTACTAAGATTTTATAATTTATTTAGAAAATAGCTTCTATGTGAAGTCCTAGGGTCAGTATATTTTATTTAGATCTATATGTGTTGTGTTTATTTGGTCTATTTTTTAACACCTTCTATTCTATAGAGTTGGGTTGTGATCTAGTATAGGGTGTCTCAATTACCAAGAAAGTAGTAATGTATTATGAATAGATTTTTAGAAAGTTTTAGGGAAGTGATAAATGTTTCCTGGTTAAAACTTGATGTCCTAAGAGTTAATTGTGAACTTTTATTTTTTCTCAATCTCCTGGTGAATTGTTATTTTATTAGTTTTATAATTATATGGCATAGAGTTCTTTGCTACCATAATTTTTTAATAATGGTTTTATTTTTTCATTTTATAATTTTTTCGAGGCTTACATGTATGAAGTAGGATCTAAATTTACCTCTTCAGACCTCCTTCTTATAGCCTGGAAGCATTTCAAAGGGTGATTGAGGCAAATGCCCTATTTGAGTTGAACTAAACTCAGTTCATACCTTGATCCTAAGGTTTCTCAGTCATGTGACTTGGGTTAGTTACCTTAATTTTTGTACTTTTATTTCTTTGTTTGCAGAAAGGATATAATGCTACCTCAGATGTGTTCTTATGAGTATTAAAGAGATTAAATGAGATTAAGAGGTAAAGTAGCAAATGTGTTTTATGGTCCCCAAAATAGGAAGTCTTCTGTAAAGTTTACTTTACTTCCTCTTCCTTCCAGAGTTTACTTTCTGGAATCTACCAATTTGAATTAAGGGTATCATCTACTATATTCTGATTTCACACCTATTCACAGTTTAATTCCTGGTTGCTGCTTGCTGTGATTTGAGGTTGTTGCAGCAGCTAAGTGAATACACTGGTAACCATGTTATCATCAACTGGAGTATGTGAGGTAAACATTTTCTTCAGAATTTAAATAGCAGTAGCTAATTCAGCATTTATATTAAGGCTTGCGTTTCCTGACTCTTTGCTTTTCAACTTAGAGTTAATATATTAAGGGATTTGGTTCCCCTTTTACCCCCAACACCCCACTACATTTCTTATATCTTATTTCTGAAATACTCCTTGTGAAACAAGTTTACTTGTAATCCCAGACTTAAATAATTTATATTTGTGAGGGATTCCCTTTTCAAAATACTCATTTCAACTTCCAGGTCTCTTACAGTAGATACTTGCCTTCATTGTCCTTTCCCCTCTTAATGGATGAGGCATTTGCTTACATCCAGAGTGGTACTTTCCAGTAGACACGGTGCATGAATGTGGCACTCTAAAATAGGTGACCTAAAGATACTGGGCTTTATCTTATTATTGAATGCTACATTTCAGGATTTTGCTGCCACTTGTTGATATTTAAAAATATTTGATAGTTAGGTTTTTCTTTTTGTATTTATAACGTGCCAGGCAGTGTGCAGTTTTACATAAGTAGTCCTCAAAACCATCATATGAGGTAGTTTATTTTTATTCTATTTTACAGATGAGGAAAT